TGAGATAAGACATGTAAAAATTGATCTTATGCAAAATTTGGCGTGATCGTCTTCTGCTATACGGCAAGCAGTTGGCGACCACGTCACAGCTACCAAGTGCGACGGGGTTGTCGTGTACGTCGCACAGAGAAAACTTGACTCAGACAGTCCGCGCCAAAAGCGCACAGTGGCTGGTTTCATGCGGTCCCACCAGAAGCAAAGTTGAGAGCCTTCAAGGTTACTTAGACTGAAGTTTGCTTTCCGATTTCAAGAGTACATATAATAAGGCTTAATGTGTTTAGATGGTGAGCTTATACTGTCCACGCTGAAGTTGTCTATATTTCTGACGTGCGACTAGCCGCCCAAGTGTACCACGGACTTGAAGTTCCGTTTGCTTTCTTATGTTTATTCACAATTACTCCAGGTGGAATATGAATTATTTTCAAAAGAAGCAGTAGATATGAATATTAGGACATATAATATAAAGTATGGGTTATTTCTAGTCTACGAGCCGTGATAATTCACAATTCTACACTTGCTTTTACTGTGAATTTCACAATCAATATTCCTTCTACGACATTTGGATTATACAATATCGCGTATCCCAATCTCTAATACTAAATCTTCACATTTAATGCTTCTTCGCATGATGTAAGGTTTGCCACACCATGCGTTGCACCGAAGAGGCTCAAGCTGTGATCATTAGGAGGCTCAAGCTTTAATCGTCTTACATGCACCAAAATTTGAATGGAACATTGCCAATGGATATTCTTTTTGACGCTTTGCTTCTGTTTATCGACTAAAGTCCAAAGCTCATGTCCAGCTAAATGCAATGGACATGGAACCTGTAAGAATGATAATACGTAAGTCAAATTGATGGTTAATGTATCAATTTAATCCTTAAAATGATCTATTGCTCATATACTTAGATGCACGTGCTTCCCTGGATACACAGGTTACGACTGTAAGTATCGGATCTGTCCACACGATATTCCTTGGGTCGACTTTGCTACGGGATCCGATTCAATTCGCTCCATTGCCCAGGAATGTTCTAATCGAGGTCATTGTAATCGCAACAATGGCAAGTGCGAATGCGATGCAGGATTTACCGGTTCTGCGTGTGAGCGTCTACAATTGTGCCGGACTAATTGTAATGGTCACGGTAAATGCCTGTCAATGCGAGCAATGGCTGCTATGAGGAACGACTACAACCTTTTTCATTCAACTTTGTATGATACACCATGGGATGCTGATCGGATCTATGGCTGTGTGTGCGATTATGGCTACACTGGTGTTGATTGCTCTCTTCGACAATGTCCGTACGGTGACGATCCTATAACGACGGGTCAAGTTGATGAAGTGCAATCACTCTCTTGCCTCTGTAATGGCTGCACGGGGACATTTACGCTGAGTTTTCGTGGAGAAACCACTCGATCACTTGATGGAAATATTGATACGGCCGCAACGCTTAAGGCAGCATTAGAAGACTTGAAGACTATCCGAAGTATCACTGTTACTTTATATGGTGGTACTACTTTATGCGACTCAGACGGTGTATCTGCAATACTCACTTTTACGCACGAACATGGAGACGTACCAGCTCTAGTAATCGATTCATCCTTGTCGGGTGGCATTATCTCACTAACAGTTGAAACAGGTAAAGTCTTTATCGAAGAAACCAGATTTACAATGAAAGAAGTGAATAATTGTATGCATTGCAGATGGCACACAAGCCGCGTATGGTCCGACTCCATTATTAACAGTACGAGGAACCAAAGAGGTGAGAACACCAATAGAGTGACCTATGGTTGATTCTTATGCGACTGTGACCCTATAAATTAGTGGCTTGAATGCTCAGGTCGAGGCTCTTGTAATACATTAATTGGTCTCTGTGCATGTGCAGCTGATTTTGGGCCTAGTGACGGTATTTTTTGCTCTCATTTGATCATATTTTTGAGCACTTTTGGAATCCCTGATGATATGAAATACTACTTTTGATCAGGCTTAGGCAGCACGGGGAACATTCTGGACTGCGGATACTACAGCGGGAGCGGTTTGACAAAATGTGCTGGTAAAGTAAAATAACTCGTACGCACCTTGTGCTTATCATTTAGTGATGAGATTAAATCGATCAGGAATTACGGGATCGATGACGCGCTGCTATAGTCATGGACGATGCATGGGTGCACCACTATACCAGTGTTTGTGCGATGAGGGATATGGAGGTTATGACTGCTCCCGCCTTCAATGTCCGACTGGTCGTGCCTGGGTGGAAGAAGCAGCAACGAATAATGTCGCTCATACTTCGATTGTTCCATGTTCAAACGCGGTAACTTTCTCAAATTCATTCCATCGTGTATATCCTGCCATTCTGATTATAAACATCATATTATATACGTCATGTAGGGTCTATGTAGCAGTAGCGGTACTTGCAAGTGCTTACCCGGTTTCGAAGGGAGCGCTTGTAATCGAAGTAGGCAACAAACAGATTGTCATTTCTTGTATCGAGAAAATGTTGTCTCAAAGTAGATTGTAGTGTCTTGTCCAAGCCGAAATGGAGCCATTTGTAGCGACCGAGGAACATGTCGGACACTTCGAGAATTAGCTGCACTTACTCCCACCACAACGTACACGACTGCGGGCTTTATATATGGGGTCAATCCAAATGCAGTGTCGACATGGGATGCTGACATGATTCAAGGATGCTACTGCGATAAAGTACCACTTGATCGTGGAAAGAACGTTCGATATGAAGGCTATAGCTGCTCGAAAAGTACGTGGGATTAAAAAAATTATCAGTTTGATGAACGCAACTAATTGCTTGACAGCTCCCTGTCCAAGTGGCGACGATCCTTGGACGATAAATCAGGTGAATGAAGTCCAGACCGTAAGCTGTGCTGCTGACGGTGGAACGTTCACCCTCTCATTTCGAGGAGAAAACACATTACCGATCGCAGTTTCAGCATCTCCTGCAATTGTTAAATCTGCACTCGAGCGACTTCTCACGTAGGTTAAACTTCCTGTTACCTTGCGTATCTTTCGAAAATTGAATCTTGTTGTGTTCGGATAGAGTCACAAATGTGAGTATTACCTTCGCGACGGGTTCACATGCTTGTTCAAGTGCTGGCAACGGTACATTGATAAAAGATGATGCAGATGTGCAAGATTTGGCTGACTGCATCTACTTTTGTTTGCTGTTTGTGTAAGATATGAAAGTGACTTTCTATTCTCCATCAGGAGATTTGCCGTTATTAAGCATTTCGGCTGTAGATTTGACCCACTCGACGACGAGTGTGAATACACAGATCGTTCAGACTACGCAGGGTACCAAGGAAGACATTATCTGTAGCAATCGTGGGCGATGCGGTACATTACATTGTAAATTTTACACTTGGCTCGAAATCAACCATTGTGTTTATTCGTAGATGAAGATACAGGAACTTGCCTATGTTCCAAGTACCACACCAGCAGCAATGCACTGGGAGACTATGGCACACTGGACGATTGTGGTGCTGTAGACGTTTTCATGACTCACGGCGAGCTATAATGGAGCCTTTAATCTACGATTCCACAAACTTTAGACGCACGTTATGAAATAAAACTTCTTTTCACTTATAGATACTGCTGTCTTGGATCAACACAAATCATTGAGGCATCTTGGTTAAGCTTTTAAGACGGTTTCGAATTATAGATAAACATTCTAACAAAATGCGTTTTTAGCTTTCATGCTTTTACAGCAATTCCAATCAATGTTGGTGCACTCACAGCAATTAGAGGAAACTCATGCCACGGCACACCCAACTAGTCGGCGAAAAATTGAAGAGGGCGAAGACCATTTGTGATCAAAATGAAGTCGTCCTCTTTATCGCTAGATGTTCGACCACACCATTCACAATTGGTTCGAGCCGTAAGACAATGATTCCACCACCGAAAAGTGTTGGTAGACCGAAGAAATTACCCAGCGTTTGACAACAAAAAGTCTTTAATGCTACTTTTACTGCCTGCCGATGCTAAAATGCATGTGTATGTACAATCCCAGTCGCGCGTCTGACAGAGGAGCGCAACGTAGATGTCCTAAATTTGTAGATTGCCAGCCGAAACAATAACTCAACCACTTACATCTGGGTGGTGCTCGCGGCTTTGTCCGTATCGTTTTATAGTTTTGTCATCACATCAGACAAGATTCTTTGTTGTCTTGGAGGTATCACAATATGTGACACAGTTGTCACAATAATGAAGTATACGCTAATAGAAAAGCTATTCATCATCAGCTTCTGATCACGTCCCCAGCCGTGACATTTACATTTGATTTGTGAATCGCAGCGCCTAACCCGTACTCATTACGGCTGAGCGAACCGCGGCTTGCTCAGGTTTCGAACACGCACCATGTAGTCTCATGCTAGTTTGGCTTTGTGCTGGACAACAACCTATGTTTTGTTTAACACTGCTTCTACGAGCACGATCGATTCCACCCCCTTCGTTGGCCTGCTCGCAAGCAGTCTCATTATTAAATGTAAGTATGCTGAAAGCAGACTAACTGGTGCCGTTTCAAACAATTCTTCAGCACTGAATCCTTTTTATCGCTGTTCAGCCGGATAATGATTTCAGATCGGTTGTTGCGTCAGTATTTAAAACGCCGAGGCAAGTCATGTAATTCGAGGCGTCATCTACTCCGGCTAATGCGGTCTTTCCCAATCACAAACTTAAGAATTGATATTTAGTGCGAGTCTAGTTGGTGCGCATGAATGAAAGATGGAACCGCGCATTCAATACAGACCCCTTTCTTGCATTGGGGCTTAATGTATCGGGCTGAACCAATTGATCAAGAGACAAATTCTCGGTTCTTCACAATAATGTGACGACTTGGTACGTTACTCGTTTGCTATCAAATATATGTCAGAGTAATTGAGCGCCAGAGAAGGGTGTAGAAACTTAAAGCTTTCCGACCGCCACGTATTCGATTTGTGTGGCGTTGACTTGCGCTTTAAATTTAAGTATAACGGATGCCAACATAATTGTGCAAGTCATCGGCATGATGCCAAAGCCACAGCAAAGCTTCCATCCGCATGTGTCGCGAGTACAATTGCGGAACAGGACAGCCTTTATTGCGACGGATGTGTCACGCATTACGACGGCCGAGATCAGCATGCATATTTTCGCTCGATTTCGCTACAACATCAGCGATAGGCGGTGATAGATCATGCCATCTATCGAACAAAATGCGCTATCTTTATTTTGTCTCGGTTACGCTCTTGTTATGGCAAACAACATCTGAAGAATTCAATTTAATACTAGAGCAGATTCTCCAATAACGGACCAGATATTCATATTTTTACTGCGTGTCAAATGATCACTTCTTACTCAATTTTGTACCGGTTATATACGTCGACCCATTGAATATGCAAGCGTTATTATCATAACAGCATCCCCACAAGAGGAGTCGGTGCACTTAGTGTCTGTCACAAAGAGACCTTATGTGGATGTGCACCGCACGAACAGGCGCATTCACGACCATGTTTCGATCTGTTCTTTTGTTTCCGCGGCTCTTAGACTTTATAGATTTAAAATTAACCATTACGGTTAAGCCCACGTATATCCTGCACCGTCACCGCTAAGGCGGGCATGGGTTATTCAAGATGATATGATTGTAATAAACGGATCTTCTTTTGTCAAATACGACATCTGGTGTATAATCAAGATATTTTAAGCTTCTTATGAGGCTTATCACGTCTTAACATATGAGATTGTCAAATAGAAGAAATGAAACTCGTTAAGAAGATCTTTTCACAATCGAACGAGCACTTTTTACACATAGTAACTTGAGAGCACGATGCTTTTGATTACACCTCCCTCACTAGTAATGGATAACATGGTGTTACACTTGTGCTGTCCCACTCCTCCTCATTCGGCTGGACAATTGATCTTGGAATGCGTCAAATTGTTATTTTAAGCATCTCTTGGAGATTACTTATTTTACTTGTACGTTGTTTAGGCATCTTTTAATTCATTGTTCTGTGAAGAAAATTCTGCGCTCATCCTATCCACTTTAAGGTAGTTGGCGATAGATGTAATGGCTACGATTTTATCAGGACCTCCTATTTACGATCGACATTTGCCTATAATCAACGAGTGTTGATCAGCCTCATCTCAAACGAGTTTGGGGCGAAGCGAAGCCGATGGAGACAAGTGACTGCAACTAGGAGTAGAAGACAATGCAATGGAGCGATTAATAATGGTTTATTTTTGTCCGGTGGAGACTAAGCCATCCTTAATGACTCCAGATAATTTAATGCTGAATCATGTGATGCGCCCACTACCGCTCAACGAAGCTTTCCGGGTTTGTGGCAAGGCATTTTGTATTGTGCGTTTGCACCTTTTTCCTGAGCTAACGTACAATACTTATCGGCACATATATGGTCTAAAACCCGCTCAACGTACCTAGAGAACATTTGGTACAATAGCAAGGTCTTCTTGGGGAACTCAGACGGCGGTCGATATTTCTTCGGTGCCGCTCCAGAACTTTATAGACAGACAAACTCTTATTAGTTGCAGTATTGATGCGGTCAGCGCGGCTGCCAACTTTGTCGAATTGACAAACAATCACAAATGATCGGACAAAAATTTCAAAAGTAGGCGTTCCTATTGGGTAATTTACTCCATCTAGTGTCTGCAGGAATAAGCCATGGGTCCTGGACATACTACCTGCTGTAGTTAGCTGCGCTGGTTTACTAAACCAAGTCCCAGTTATCGACAATCAGGACGGGATATATCGCGCAAGTCCGGGCCATTCGATCTGCATCAATATGCAATCCCATGGGACTATCGGTGCACCAGATCACTAAAAATTCAGTGTGCTGTCATAATTGGACCGAAAAATAGCTAGAAATCACACAAAAATTCTTTCATACTAAGTTTCAGCACAAAGCCATATATTGAGCCGCTTCTAATTGATAAATTACGAAGCTGCGCTTCGAAGCTGTTATCAGCGCGGATGCCACATCAAAATTCTATCGTTTCCAGGTACTCCACACGAGTGTAATGGTGTCTTTAATGATTGTGTATGTGCATATACCATGAATCATCTATCACTACGGATAAAAGAATCTTGTAGATGTTTAATGAAAAGGCTTCCTCTTTTATTCTATTAGAAATTTGTTGACTAAATGACCACAAAATCTCTCGACTTTGAAAGGAAACCGTAATGCGTAGTCTTACACAATAATTTGTACGTATCGAGAACACAGGCATTCGATTGCTCACAACATGATGTCAAACTAGGCCAAGACTGCAATAACAGAGCCTATACCCATCACTTATCATTGAGTATAATAGCTGCCACCAGAGCGAAATTAGATGTACGAATAGTTATGAATTTGGTTGGCATGTAAAGCTCAACTAAGCTTCACAACGGTTTGTCACTCGCAGACGCTGTTCACTTTGCGCAGGCCAAGCCTCCTTAATTTAGAAGCGGTCGTTCACAAGGCATCCGCAGACTGATGGTCAGTCTGAGCGCGTGAACACGTCGTTGAAGACGTGTATCGCAGCGTCTACGCTTAAATGCCGAAGCGCTGAAGCGCCACGTTGCCACTGGTGGAATTGGCTCTGAACTGAATTGTTCATGTACTGAATTGTACATGCGTCTACTGGCTACACGCCATTCTACGTGAACAGATTTGTTAATCCTCGCGTCCCGCTGACGTTGCTATCCCACGGCTCAGGGCTTGGTGGGGGAGAAATAACCGAGCGGATAGCTAATGTTAGCCCCCTCACTGTCCGTAAGTAGTGGAGGACTTTCTGTCACTAGACTGAGTGTCTTACGACACGTTTGCAATACGATGGCGGAAAGCCAATACGCGCAGAAAGAATATGCAGACGGAAGAAGTAAAAGAAAATTTTAAACATTGAGGCCAGAGACCTGATTTCATTAAATGCTAAAAACATTCCTACACATACATTTTCTGCCGTCTTAAAGACAAAGCTCCGTTCGCGATTTATCGGACCTTAAGGTCGTGCGTGACCAAGAGAGGCCTTTGCGTATACGCTAAACCTTCCGAGAAGGATGCGCACCCACTCGGTGTTTGCTGTGGGGCTGCTTAAGCCGTACCGGGATCCAATGCTCGGCCACCCAAAAGGTGTCCCAGCAACTGTTTTTGAGCACGGAGTGCAGAAATTTCCGTTTACTACGGCACCAGGTGCTCCACCGCCGCACAAAGTGAAGCATTCGCTGCTCGACGGCTAGGAGCCGCTCCGACAGAGTGCGATGGTCTTCATCGTGATACATTCGATGCACAAAGTGCTCCAAGCTCTCGAGAACTTTCGCACAGCGGTATGCGACCTCGGCAAGATGCTCGGCGGATTGCCGATGACGACGGATATTATCCCCCAGAGCTTGAATAGCATCGCGAGTCACCGAACGGCGATCGACCAAGTCGTCATCGTCCGCCGCCGACCCTTCTTGATGAGAATGGTGGCGTTCACTATCACGTGGAATGCCTTGTAAGCTGACGTCATCGACAGGATCAAATCCAATATCTTGTGGAGTGGCGG